TATATATATATATATATAGTGTATATATATATATATATATATATATATATATAGGGTGAGAGTAAAGAGTCAAATGTTTTGGCAACTCCTTGTTGGGGGATGAATTCATATGATTTTGAATCAGAGCTCTGTATGAGGTGGTGCACCCCAGGTGCACCCCAAAATCTCGTTATAAGATGTAGCAAATCTATGAACATTTGAATATCTTGATTATTGACGGTCTCGATAACATGCTACAAGATGAATCATTATTATTACTTGAAATTCAATTTTTTTTCATATTCATACATATCAAAGTGGAGATGATCAATTGAAGGGTTTTCTAATACCATTTGCCAGTACTGGAGACTGGAGGTAGGTAGGGAGGGAGGGAAGATGTGTAGTGCTACTGAAAACCTGATGTCACAGTAATTATTTCGAAGGGAGGGAAGATGTGTTGTGCTACTGAAATCCGCTGTCTCAGTAATTATGTCGACTTATGGAATAATCCTATCCCCATTCATGGTGCAATTATGGTATTTGCTTGGAATGGAGGCCAATTCATTGTTCAGTTACTTCAATTTCAGTTATTTTTGATAACCAGCTTTTTAAAAGCAACAATTTCATCATCTGCTAAAAAAGGTATAGTGAGTGGGGTTTTCTAATACCATTTGCCAGTACTGGAGACTGGAGGGAGGAATGGAAGATGTGTAGTGCTACTGAAAATCTGATGCCTCAGTAATTATGTCGAAGGGACTGAAGAAGTGTAGTGCTACTGAAAATCCGATGTCTCAGTAATTATGTCAACTTATGGAATAATCCTATCCCCTTTCATGGTGCAATTATGGTATTTGCTTGAAATGGAGGCCAATTCATTGTTCAGTTACTTCAATTTCAGTTATTTTTGATAACCATCTTTTTTAAAGCAACAATTTTATCATCTGCTAAACAAGGTTTAGGGAGTGGACTGTCTAAGCTAAATTCCTGGTTTACAACAGTTTTTAATTAATTTTTTATGCAAAAAAAATCAATTATTTAATGCGCGCATTCTACGTCATGATTAAATCTCTCACATTACCCATGTGACTAAACCCCCCACATTGTTGCCAAGGTAATTGACCTTTGTATTATGAGATCACGTGCATGTTATTTTACTAAAATTTGTCAACACCCTGATTCCTTCCTTCCATTAATTGACAAATTCTCTGCATCTGACTGATATTTAATCGTCATTCAGTTGCTCCACTAGTTTGTTTGGTGTTATGGCCGGTCACAGAAACTATAGCAGTAAACGCTCCCACTCCCAGGCAGACTCTATGGCGAATTTTGACAATGGAAGCAAGCGAAGAAACCCAGGAGAGGAAAGAGAACAATATGCCCCTGGACCGGAAGATACTGTCTATCGATACTTGTGTCCTGCAAAAAAGATTGGGAGTATAATAGGCAAGGGTGGAGAAATAGTGAAGACTTTAAGGGCAGAAAGCCAATCTAAAATAAGGATTGGTGAAACCATACATGGTTGTGAGGAGCGCATCGTGACCATTTTCAGTTCCCGCATGCGAAACCAAGCAACTTATGATGAGAGTGGTTTGGAGTTCATGTGTTCAGCTCAAGATGCACTATTCCGGGTGCATGACCGCCTTCTTGCTGATGAGACACCCGGTGAGGAGGGTGATGATACGAATTCCCAGAATGTCACTGCTCGTTTACTTGTTCCCGCAGATCAAATTGGGTGCATAATTGGGAAAGGAGGACAGATTATTCAGAACATGCGATCTGAAACTGGGGCCCACATTCGCATTCTGAAGAATGAGCAGCTGCCTCTTTGTGCTATGGCGTCAGATGAACTTCTTCAGGTTGTACATTACGAGGATCGAAGCTGTTGTTGAACTTCTAATGTTTGATTCAAGTCTATGTTTATTGAAATATCTTATTGTTTAAGCAAAATGATTGTAATAGTTGGTTGAAAGAGTATAAAGTAGAAAAAGCAGGCTCACACTGCACTTCTTTAGCCATTTATGGCCCTTTGTCCGCACTGTCTCACATATTGACAACGATTGTGTTGTCTCTTTGGTTTCAGATATCAGGGGATGCCTCAGTTGTTAGGAAAGCTCTATATCAAGTTTCTTCTCGTCTACATGAGAACCCTTCAAGATCTCAAGGAATGCTCTCCTCGGGGCCAATGATTCCACCTGGTGGTCAGTTCTTTGGTCCAAACTCTGGTGCCTCATACTATGGGGGATATAAAGGTGATGTTGGTGGTGATTGGGCAGTTGGGCCTTCACAACATCTCTATTCTGGTGCTAGAGATGACTCATCCGCGAAAGAATTTGGGCTTCGCTTGGTTTGCCCTTCTAGCCACATTGGTGGAGTCATTGGCAAGGGGGGTGTAATCATTAAACAAATCAGGCAAGAATCTGGTGCATTTATCAAGGTTGAAAGTAACAATGCGGAAGGTGATGACTGTGTGATAGCTGTTTCCGCAAAGGAGGTGTGCAGCTTAACATAGTTCTTGTTGGGATATTTTTTCAATTAATGCATTTGTTTTTGTTTGTTTTTAAGTTCCGATTGCCGTTTGTGTTTCAGTATTTTGATGATCCTTTCTCTCCGACCATTGATGCGGCAGTTCGTTTACAACCGAAGTGTAGTGAGAAGACTGAAAGGGAATCTGGAGAACCATCATTTACTACTCGCTTACTTGTTCCATCATCGCGTATTGGGTGCCTTATTGGAAAGGGTGGATCCATAATTTCTGAAATGAGGAAGATGACAAGAGCAAACATACGCATATTTTCAAAGGAAAATCTACCAAAAGTTGCCAGTGAGGATGATGAAATGGTCCAGGTTTGTCATACTTGCGTGGTTGTATCCTGTATCTGTTTTAGTGGTTGTATCCTGTATCTGTTTTAGTGTGTTTGATATGCTTGTTTTTATGCCTGTATTCTGTGTTATGTTATCAAAGTTGTTACTGTTTCTGTTGATTAAAGTGAAGGTTTATTTTTTCAGCTTTGAAATGGTTGTATATATTCTTGTGTTATGCAGATCAGTGGAGAGCTTGATGTTGCTAGGAATGCTCTCATTCAAGTGGCAACACGATTAAAGGCTAACTTTTTTGAGAGGGAGGGTTCTTTTCCAGTGTTTCCGTCATCTCTTCCTTACCTTCCGATGTCAGCGGATGTATCAGCAAAACCAGGTGGGAGGGGTTATTCTTATTCAGGAACAGGACTATATGGTGCCTCTGGTGATGTTACTTCTGATAGTTACGGGAATTATGCTAGTGGGCAGGTAAATTTTAGTTACTGCATGGTTTCCTTCAATTTATAGTTTGCATTTCTTTGATTATATTCTTGAAGAAAATAATTCCTGAAAATATCACTCACATGGCTCCTTTCTTTTTGTTGCATCTTGGTATTTTGGGTAATCTGTTATGGGGATTCTTCTCACTTTGACATACATTCTTCACTTCTTTTGACATGTGGAATGCAGAATGTGTATTTTACATATATTCTTCACTTCTTTTGACACTAGTGTATTTTTGTGGTATTTTCAAGATTCTGTAAATGGGTTGTATGTTTTAGAGCTCCAAACAAAACTTTCGGGATTTAGCTCTTGGTTCTTTGGCAACTGGAATGCAGAATTAATGTTTATGCACTGCTTTACCACTTGTTTAAACCTTTTCCTGTGTAAAATTTGATGTGTTTGATATTCATTTTTGTTACTCCTTTGGGTTGTTATTTGGTTCCCCATTCCTTCAAATTTTTTGATATTTCTCTAACCTTATATTGTAATGTCAGAGTGGAAGTAGTGGTGGTTATGGATCATATGGAGGCTACACATCAGGGCGTTCTGGTAGTGGGTAAGTGTGATTTCTTGTTTTTGTTTGTTGTATGAATTTCTCTAAAGGTTCTTTAATTTTTTTATTCAGTCTGAGGTATTTGTTGGGTTCAACACTTTTTTCTATTATTTGCCTCTTTTTGTTCTCTCCCAAAATTCTTTTAAGTGGGTTATTGGTGTTTGAGATTGCTTATTGATGTTTGTTACATCCATAATTCGTAAAGTGCGAGTTGGGTATTTTTTTTTGGTTAGGATGTAAGTGGGCTTGGGTCCTCTCTTTTGTCCCATTGTTTTTTTCTTGTTCGTCTTTATTGTTTTCTGGAGTCCAATTTCGTATCTTTTCAATCCCTTCTATTGTCAAACACTTGACCACCTTGTTACTCTTGGCTGCTGATGTGGGACATATGCACAGACTTACCTTACCTGATATGTGGTTTCTTGCACCCGCTGATGTGGGACCTTTGCACATGTATATTTACCTTGCCTGATATGTAGTTGCTTTTAGCAGGTTAACTAGTCAAAACTCTGTTTCTCATGGGAAACATCACGGTTATTAGGATGGCTGTGTGCCTAGCCCCGCAGGTAGATTATTGTGTCACTTTCGTCTGTACCTTTAAATTAAGATTTATATTTCCATCCATTAGTATTAGTCCTTCCGCATCTTTTATGTTACAATTTTTACTACCTAGTCAGCCCACCTATATTTAGATATCTGATTTACCTGTTTGCCTTTACCTTCCTATCCAAACAGCCAAGAACCATGATGCCTGGAGCCTGCTTACTGCCCTTTGATGAAGCCTCAAAGCCTAAACCTGAAGATCTCTGATGAACAGGGTTTTGGAAACTTTTGGCCCTTCCCCAGAAGAATATTTTTAGTGTGGTGTGATACCATTTGGCGATGTTGAACTGTTGTTTGATTACCCATCGCCATTTACTTCCCACCAGGCTTTATTTATTTATGTACCCAAGGGCCTTTCTTCTTAAGACCCCGTGTTATATGGAGACTATGACAAATACAGTTTCTTTGGTATTTTGCGAGAACAGAGAATTGCCCATTTCTTTTTTTTATGGCATTGCCAAAGTTTTTTAATTTGTGTTTGATGTGAAAATTTGATTTGCTGAATTTTTTGTTTGGTTCATTTTTGTAATGCCATGGGTTTTGGTTTGTTTTTGTCTGATAAATAGGTAATTTCATCATAGTCGAGAAGGTCTATTTTTCGGTACCATACCTGCAAATTTCTGCAAATTGTTAGTTATCCTTATCTTGATGTCTTATAGAATTTATGGGGTTTCCTTCTTTATTGGCCATGTCACTAAATTGATGGTAATTCTAAAGTCTAGACAATATGAGTACAGAATTGTCTTCTGTTGTTCTTTTAGAGAAGCCAGTTATAGGAAGTTTCTAAAATTTGGTAACATGATTGAAGTGAAAAAAAGGTAGGGGTTGTGGATATGCTCTTATTATGGGCTTGTTCATCATGAATGCTGAACTATATCGTGATGTATAAATATTTGATTGGTGTTCTATCAATAAATTTCCCCATTTTTTTTTTGGCTTTGACCATTATTTTCTTTTATCTTTTCTCTTGCGAAAGAAGTTGGGATTCTGGGTTGTGTTGTTATCATTATGTACATTTTAATTCTTGCAATAATTTGTTGAAGTAATTTTAATTTTTTTTGTCCAGGATGTGATTTGTTCACCAAATACTGTAGAAAAAGCTGTTGAATAATTAGTTTTGACAAAATGCTATATATGATGGTGGTACTCTTCTAGAAGAGATGATATTTTGGATTGTCATTGTTGACTGTGCTGCTCTGTTCCAATTGTTTCTATTCTCAACTTCCTTTTCGTTTGTCTGAGATTTTGTTTTTTTTTGTTTTTTTGGGTCAATAGATCATTCAATTGTTTGTTCTTTTATTTACCTTCACATCTTGATTGGGTCAGATTGCAATTTTCTTTTTCTGTTTATAGTATATTTACTTAGGATTTTCCTTATATATCTAACAAATTTCGTTATGATTTTCCTCAAACATCGTATGATGGTTTTAAATATACTTCAACTATGAAATAGAATTTATCTGAGGCACTTTGATGCAAGTTGTGCTTTACTTTGCTTCATTTCTTCTTTTTTGGTACTGTTTTGTTTCTTTCTCACTGTTCCTGGATCCTTGGGATTTCCTCATGCAGTGCCTATGATGGGTTTAAATATACTTTGAGTCTTAGCTATGAAATAGAAGTTATCTGAGGCACGTTCAATGAAGTTATCTGAGGCACGTTCAATGATGCAAGTGGTTTTTAACTTAATTTGGGTGTTTTAATTTTTTTCTCCTATTTTTTTTTCTCTGTGTCTGTCTCTTGAGTATTTTGCATCTGGTTTTTACTCGAATGTATTGTAATGGTTCAGTTAACATTTAAAAAAAAAAAAAATAGTTGATAAAAGCATTCATTCTCTCTCAGTTTTGTGGGTGTGTTCTTTGGGCTTTGATGCTTGTGTGATTGGCATTAATGTTTGTATTCCCACTTTATGAATCATGCATGCAATACTTAGTCTCTGATTGGTAGGATCAATTTATTGGAGCTAGGCTTTTGTATCCTGACCTATTTTAGTGTTGAAATAGGTCAAATGCTTGGGCTAGTCTGCTATTTGGATGGACATTCTTTACCTTTCAAACCCTGAAGAGGATTAGAAATCGTCATTTGCTTTGGGGAAAAACCTGATTTTGTTGATGTGTTTGTGTATACGGATTCCTATTTTTTGTGGGTTTTATTTGCTGTCACAATGGGATAGGTTGAGAGGTGCAGTTTCCAAAGTAAACCCATATTAGTACTGGTACTAGGATTAGCATTTTACTCATTAGAAGCGCTCTCATTTATTTGTTTTATGTTTTGTGTTTATTTGCATTATTATATTTTCTTTTGTGGTATGCCTCTTATGGTTTTATATTTACTTTGAGTGTATTTTCCAATGGGGAATTTGTCTGAGGCACCTCACGTTGAGTGTTTTGAAGTTTAGATTGCGCTATTCCTTTTGTCAATTGGTTTGGGCTTTAAGTAGTTTCTTGTTTTTTTTCCTATGACTCTTTAGGTATTCTCATGATTTGAGAGCATGAGATCAGCAATGCTTTTCAGGGTGATGATCTTCAGAATATCTTTTTTTATTTGTCTTCCCGGATATCTCTCTGCAAATAGCTCTCAGATGTTCTGTAAGTTTGAAATCCTGGTATGACATGCTATGGGTTAGTTGGAATTCGGCGGATTCTAATCTTATTACACTGTTGCTTTGGATATTTATTTTCTGTTTGCTTCTATGCGCTCTGATAGGTTTATATATAGTTGTGACAGAAAAGCAAGAAAACATATGATTAGCGCAATGGCTTTGTGCTAGCTGTTGCTTGTTAGCTTTATAGCGAAGACAAGCAAGAAAACAGATTCGCCATAGCACAACGGCTTTCATGCTAGCCATTGCTTGTTGCAAGAAAATGGATGCGCATTAGCCGTTGCTACCTTAAATCCGAGCAGTTGGTTGTCTGTTGGTATTATCTGGTAATATTATTCTGTTGGTATTTGTTTGGGTATTCTATTGTTTAGTTACATTTTTATCCCGTTGAGTGTTATTTTGAGTTTAGTGATGGTATAGTGGATACGGACATCAACACTCCTAGATGATGGGGCTTCCTGGAGTTCCTATGCACTTTCCGAATTGATGATATACTGATTTTAGTTGCTTTGTCAACCTTTAGATATTTTGTTTGTTGCATTTTTTAAAATACAAGGTACGTTTCATTCTATCTCCTTGCTTTAATTTACTCATTCTCGATTTAATTTGCTTTCTTTGAATTAGAGTGCACTTATCGATCTATGTACTTTATGATTTCCATTGCATAAACTAAAAATGTGTTATTTGGCATTGGTGTTTGCTTTTTGTAACTTCCTATTATCATGCTTTCGTTTCTTTATGTTGATTCTTTGTTCTTGAAAATTTTAAACGGACTTTCATATCTTAAAGTTGTTTAGGGCTACTGCTGCATTATCTGTGATTTGTAAATCTGGTGATTGTCGCAATTTTTAAACGTTCCTGCTTTTCTTTGTAAATTCTGGAGTTATGAGAGACTCTCTAGAACTTTTTTAGTATGTTATAAAGATAGCTTTTGTAAATGTGAGTATATGGGAGTCTTGTCACATGGAAATTCCTGTATATTTGATCATACATTTATTGTTCTTTCCATTTTTTCTTAATTTTGGTTTTATAAATGAACTAACTGCTCTTTTGTGTCTTTTTGGGGGGGGGGGTGTTGTGTGTGTCTGTCTCTTTGTCTCCTCATGTTTGCACGGGCATCTGTGGTGTGTTTTACGGTAGATTTGTCCTATTGTCAGCGGTATGTGTGGCATGTTTTACAATCAACTTGTCCTAAAACTGTAGAGGTTTGCATTGTGCCCGACCAAATTCTATGGAGTCGTGTCAACGCACTTAGAATTATATTGTCTTTCTTTGAATACTAATTTGTGTGGTGTTGAGAATTGCTCTTGTCGTCCTGTTGTGGCAACCGGCACCCCGACAGAATGTGGCTTAGGGTGGTTCTTGTACTTATATTTTGGACTTTGATTCTTGAAAAGGGCATAATTTCATCTTTTAGAGTTTTTCCTTTACCTCTTATTTGGGTTTTGCTGTGTGGGTCTGATGTAGGTACATTTTTCTGGATTCTGTTTTTTGCTAGATTCTTTCGTGCTTCACCATTTTATTTGGTTTCAATGATGCATATGACGATTATCTAGACAGGGACATCGACAATCCTGTAGAGGATGATGACATTTTTTGGGAATCTCTCTGATGCATATTTCAATACTTTTTTGTCTCTTGGTTGCATTGAATATTGGTATGTTAAAAATTTTGAGATCCAAAGATTGTTCAATGGATTTGCCGTATGTTTTGATCTGTGGTCTTCATTTTTCATTTTTATTTTTTTGCTGGGATGGGGGTTATTGTTTCACTTTGTATGTTTTATTACCAGTAGAGCAGATTT